GTATGTATGTATGTATGTATGTATATATATATATATATGTATACATATATATATATATATATATGTATATATATATAAGTATATAAATATATATATATATAAATATATATATATATATATAACGGCCGGGAAGCCCCGATTTAAGTGCATCTGCAGCTTGAGTCGTATTCCTGGGCTACAACTGTCATCTGAAGTATAACGAGTGTATCGAACGGATTAGTCCTATTGCGGTTTACTACTTATGTGTATATGCCTTACTGGTTATATCTGAAACTGATTCGAGAATCGAACGCGGACTCTACTAAGGACATCAGACGAATAGTCTTGATCCTTCATGTTGTTATTAGATTAGCTGTGTGCTCAGTAGTGTAAGCATAGTTGATTATATACACAGCCTATGTCGGCTGGCTGTTGAAAGTTCTGCAGAAACTTGCACATGACAATCTCTCTTGAAATAGTTGGAAACTTGGAGACTTGAACCATAGAGAGGGGAATATTAGAGGTAAAAGTAGGTTGCAGGTATTGACATATTGTTGTGTGTGTGTCTGCCTGATTGCCTCTGTCTGAGAATGAGCGTAGGAGAGGACGCGTCTCGTAGGCTGGCAGTCACACAGTCCCACAGACCACACTCATATGTAGTCACACTCACACAGTCAGTTAGTCAGTCAGACAGTAGACTCCCACAATCCCGCAACCCTACAAAGCCGGCCACGGAGGCTACGCCCGCGACTCACAGGCCGCAATTGTAGCACAGAATGAACAGTTCACGTTTAACGCTAACATTTTTTTAAACCCCTAAACCCTCCATATTTATTAGTGTTCTAAACCAGTGAATTTCGTATATGCAGGCATCAGTAAATATTTACCTTGAGAATAGTACTGGTGTCCTACTGACCTGGCCTGCTGCACCCAAACTTCTATTGGGGGGGTGGGGGGGGCAGATGTAGGTGACAAGTCGGGCCGACAAATAACCAAACGACATGTACGATGTCTCGTGCGACAATCTGGCAAGCAGATATCGTCGTTGTCGGATGCCAACCCAGCAATTCCCAATTTTGGGGGATGAGAAATCAGGAATCACTGATTCAGGATACACGCAGAACTAGAGTAAGTAGTAACTACGCGGCATTCTACAATCTACATAAGATTCTTGCACGCGGCATACCAAGGCGAAGGTTTTTTTGCCTTTTTGCTATGCGAGGCATTGATTGACTAATAGCTAAAGAGTGAATAGTAAACTTTCAAACCCCAATCAGAAGTGCTTCCCACTACTTGCTTGATTCTTTATTCAGAGATCAGCAATGTCAACTTAAATTAATTTTGATTCGATTGGGTATATTTATTTCCGCGTGCTCGAAAAATAAAGTGATCTCTAAAAACACAACCCAATATGGCAATACAATATAGACGACTCGAGCAGTCGAGCTTCTTAGATCCAGTTGTAATATGTGCAAAAGCCCTATACAATTGTACAAACAGCAATTGTACAAACAGTCAAGCACATCACAGTGATCACACTCGCACATACCAATGATCTACAGACACACACCCATATAATAGAAACACTAAACATATACCTATACAGTATACACACACCATAACACAGAGCCAAAACAAACACAATTAAACACTAGCGCACGAGATCATCCAATCGAATGTTTTATCGTTTCATCTCAAGTCGCCAGATCGTGAGATCACTGACCAAAAAATGGTGTGAGCAAAATAGTAAATATGAACACCATCGCAAGCGATCATCCAATAAAATATTATATCTATAAAGAATCGACCAAATATCGTTTCATTTGGTTTACAAAAAATCACTCTCCCCCCCTCCAAATATATGTGTTGAGACATGGTCAAGCTCAGAGCCGGACTCATGGCCTTTAGATTGTAAATATGTATGTCGAAAGCTGGATGATGTCATGATGGACAGGCACATATTGGCCAAGCTCTTGTGCGGGGAGTGGTGACGAATGGATTCTTTGATAGCTCATTCTTTCATACGACCCAGAGAATTCATCGCTCCTCTGCAGATTCGAAAGATGTGACCTTACCTGGGCGCAACATGTTACAGCCCAGTGTCGTTTCGCTATAAAAGCAGCTTAATATTCTTTCGTTGGTGATGTTCTCGTTTTACTTTCTACAACCACACATAAATATCCCGATCTCGGAGATACAACAATGGGTTCAACGGTATCAGTTCTCAAAGACACTCCAGAACGTGCGTATGTGGCATTTTCAGTAAATTGGAACGCATTAAAATGGTCACTATTTCCGATAACAACCCTGGCGACTGTCCTCACCGCTGGTTTGGCCCTTCCTGCTGTATTAGCTAGTGAGGCAGCAATAGCAGGTGTTGCAGCTATAGCGACAGCCGCCATTGACGTAGCGTATATAGAAGGTACTGACACGTTAGAGCTCAAATTCGCGAAATCTATCGATCTCTCTGAGAAACAAAGAGCACAGATCGCGGAAGCTGTGCTGAAAGAAGCTATCAAAATCATCGATAAGCACATGTCCGACAACGACTATCACATTGTTGAGCCTGGTATGTCAAATTCACTATATGTCAGATTCATTATTTCAATATCGTTGTGTGTATTCGTGTATGCGTTATAAGGATACTCAGGCACGAGATGCGAAATATAGGTATCAGCACATTTAAGACCCTTTCTTATCCTTCAGACCTCGACTATGTATCTTGAATTGCACTTTCAATGTAAACTTATATTTTAAAGCTCTCTACTTCACCAGGGGCAGTGTACGAATCTAGTAAGCAAAGTTTATCCCTGAATCAAAGAGCTTACGTGGGTAGAATTGTGCACAACAAAGCCGAGCAATCTCTTTCGCTCGAAACAACAGACACTTCGGCATGGAGCGGTCCCACGGTAAACAGCAAAAACAAGTATAAGTTATCGGACAGAGACTACTTTAATAGCTGGACATAGGAGAAGCAGATACACCTGAAAATCAGCACAGATGGTCCTGTTCAGCCTCCTAAGGCATCTTGTTGCGAGTAACGCGTGATGAAGCAATCTACTATCAATAAATAGTAAACAGATGAATACAATCATAGCGACAAATCGTAATTTACGAATCTGAACTACTTATATTAGTTGTTTTATTTGTGTGTGTGTGTGTGTATGTATTTATATATATATATATATATACATATATATATATGTGTGTGTGTGAGTGATTGTGTGTGTGTGTGTCTGTATGTGTGTGTGCTGTATATGTGCGTACGTTTAAACATATACTATTACACTATGAATATTTCTCAATTCCATCATATATATAAATATAT